AGTAGCAGTCTGGAAAGAGCCCTAAGGAGTCTTACCTTTCCGTCCTTTGGAGTGTCATGGCATACGCCCCATCTTTCAAGTCTTCATATGTCCCCTTCAGCTTACGTGGAAATAAAGCCACGTGTCCTGGGGCTCTGGCTAGGATGAAACCCACAAGGGAGGAAAGAGAGGGCAGGAGAACCTGAACTCTGGAGCCTGAATTCAAGTCCAGGCTCTATCACTTATGACTCTGTGGCCTCAGTGTCTGCATCTGTAAAATGGGAGTAATAAACGCATCCACCTCACAGAGTTGTTACGAGGTACAGGGACCTAATAAGTACTTCGCATCTGGACTATTTTAGCAGTTGGCTCTTAGGCTCTGTTTTAGCTCTAGGAGGATTTAGGTATAGGTACTAGTTGCAAAATGTGAGGTTGGGACCAGCAGGTGGTATGGTGGTTAAGGTTGTAGATTCCCACATGTCCGACCGTGGCTTGAGTCCTGGACCCAGTGGTTTGAAAATCACACTGGCATGTGTGCATGCATACCCAAGATCCTGAGAGGAGAACGGAGGAGAAGGGATTGCAGTATGGTCATCCCCCTGAGGGATGTTTTCTTACTTTCCCTCTCTCTGTCTCTGGCAAGTGCATGTGCACTGTGACAAAAATCTAAAAACAAAAAACAAAATAAAGGGAAACAAGGCAAGCTTGGTTTTATGGAGCTATGCTCAGTGAGAGAGAACTTCTCCGAGTAGAAAGGCACTTTAGTTTCTGGGCTTAAAGTGTGCTTATGTTGCCACCCTCTCCCAGTGCTGTCCCCAAACAGTGATCCCACACAGGTGGCCTTTAGACTTCCTGGCAGGTGAGGTGGGGCTGTGAGTAATCTTTTGCTTTGAGATTGTGACCTAGCTGGGGTGGGGGGAATCCACTGGGGACATGGCCTTTTCCATGTAGTCTCCCCATGGGCATTGACCCACCCCAGGTCTAATCTGGGAAAGGTCTTAGGCCAAAAGTCCTTGATCCGTTGTTCCAGCTGGGCCTGCTGGGGTGGGGAGGGGCACTGTGCTTTGAAGGACCTCAGGGGGGCACAGGGCTGGGGTGCAGCTGGGCCTGTGTCTTTCTTGGTACTGGAATGGTGGTGTCCCCTAGAGAAGGAATTTCTCTAGTTGAGCCTGCGTTAATTGTGCTTGCATGCTCTTCAGAGGAGGCAGGGACAAAGCAGCTGTGCTCCACTTCCCAGGGGGCTCCCCTCTGGACGCTCAGAGAGTTTCACTAAGATCCTGAAAGTTCCTGTAATGAGTCCTCCGTGCATCGCCCTGCAGAGGGCAACACCAGGCTGGTCCTAGTGCTGCCACCAGTGCCTTCATTTGCAAAATGAGGCACATGTAGAGCACCTGGGAGGTGACACCCCATGCCAGCTGAGACAGTGACAAAGTGCTGTTTGGGAACAAGGGGCCCTTGTCAGACTTAGCTCAGTAAAAGCTTCAGTTTGTTTCCCATTGTTATCGTGCCAGTCGGCCCGGCCCTACAACCCAGTCAGCCCTACAGCCGGCCCTACAACCGCTGCCCTTAAGGAACTTACAGTCTAGGGCAGAGGTCTGAACTAGTCACAGAGTCCCACAGTGAGCGCTGCAGTAGCTGTACACGTATGTAGAAGGGGCTCCCCAGGTTAAGGGGGCCTTGGGGGGTGAAGGTGCCTAGAGGGGGTGGCTTCCAATCTGACACCTGAAGGTTAAGTGAGTTATATAGGTTGGGGTGGCATGGCACGGGGTGGGTGGGGAGGGAGAAGTACCCGGGCAAGAGGACAGCATCTACAGAAGCCATAGGTGCAAGGTCCTGGCTTCCAGGTCAGGGCAGAGCCCTGGAAAACCAGCAGGCCAATGCCCAGGGTACTACAACGATAGCACCTTCTAGATCCTTCTCCTCCTAGCTCAGGCCTCTGCCCCTTCGCCATGTGTGTGATGTAATAGCTTTTGAGTGCTAAAGCTGGGGTAGAAGATGGGCCGGAGGGGTGAGAGAGATGCCAGGAACTTCATGTTTTTCCTGTGGAAATAGCATTCTGGAAAGTGGTTTGGTGAGCCCCGGTCCCACAGAGCGGACACGGCCTGTCCCTGTGCTTCCCAAAGCCCAGAGCCTGACGTAGGCGTGCTCTCGCCTTTCCCCTCCGTGGGCCCCTGTGAGCCGCACCGCCTGTCAGGAAATAACGTTTACCTGGGCATGCTGAGACTGTGTTGCCTCACCTGGGCGCAGTTTCCTGCCTTCCCTGCCGCCCTGACCCAGCCAGGCTAAGGGGAGCTTCTAGAGGCTCACTCATGTCTCAGCCTGGAGGAATTTCCTGGGCCCAGGTGAGTCAGGGGAGGCCTGTACCAGGTGCTGGGGCTGGGTGAGGGGACAGTGCCGACTTAGCCTTGCCACCCTCTCCTCATGGTGAAGCCTTGAGATTTGGCAGTCCCAGAGAAGATATCCCCCTCGGGCGTGTGTGTTGTCATAACATTGTAAGAGTCGGATCTTTGCCCATCCCAGTGTGGTGACCCCAGCTCAGGCCCTGACAGGCCCTTGGGAAATGCCTCATCGTATTGATGGTTTACGGAGCACTTACCTGGGCCCGACACTGTGCTCATCACTTCCTGGAGAGCAGGACACTGCGGACAGCAGGACACTGAGGACGCAGCCCTGCAGCATTGTCGCCACGCTCATTTCCTAAGTGAGGGAGGCGCTGGCTGAGAGGCTGAGTGCTGGCTCAAGCAGCAGCCTGGGCTCTGGGCTCCTCAGGAGGCACCCTGGCCCACTGCACCAGCAGAGGCCCGAATCGTCCCCTGGTGTGGGCCACCTTCCCTGCACCCTGGGGAGGATGGAGGTGGAGCTGTGGAATCAGGAAGGAATGTTACTGGGGCAGCCTAGTCAGTGCTCCCGGAGACCTGAGACCGAGGGACCGGTCCCCCTTGGGATGCAGCTTGTTTTGTTTTACACTGTAGTAAAATACTCATAGCAAAGCTGGCCCACCTCAGCCTTATTATTTATTTATTTATTTATTTTTGGGGAGAGAGTTTCGTTATAGGGCACGTGTGCTCGCCAGAAAGACAGAGACAGAGACAGCGAGAAATCACTCCCCGGGGGGGATGGCCACGCCTCAATCCCTTCTCCTCCATTCTCCTCTCGGGATCTTGGGCACGCACGCACACGCGTCCGGTGTGAGTTTAAGCCGC